TCTGGAACTGGAGTGACCCGACCCAGTTATAAGATCAATGTGATCTTATAACTGGTTCGGGTCAATATGAGGCCAAACTTGCACCATGTTAAGTTGCAAAAGGTGAGCAGGCATGAAATACTGTCGCGCTCTGCTGAGCATGCCAAGGCCTCTTTGGAGGCCAATTTGGTCTTCCCTTTTTAGTGACCATTTCCGAAAAAGGATGAAGTATTCAATTCGACTATATATTGTTTTTTTTTATATATGATAGTCGATATCTTTGTCAAATATGAACCGTTTGTAATTATTTTTTTATTTAATAGGCTATAATTCCTGTATATAAATACTCATACCCATATAAGTTGGAAAAAAATTCCGGTCCTAAGTTCAAAACTTAAGAGATGAGGTTTTCAATCTAATTATTTAGCCGTCTATTTATCATCTCCACCACCCAATATCATCACGTAGGTATCATAAGGGTTGACAGAAGGAAGCTATCCAGGAAATGCGCAGCATCACCTTCCTAACATCATTAAAATGAACAAGACATGTGGTAATGGTAATCGTGACAGATATATGAGGCAATTTTTCTTTATAAAATGTGTTATACAAACGAGCACATATGTGAATCTCCACTCGTTCCTCGTATCCACCTGAAGCTAAGTGAATGCTATCGCCCATATGCATCTACATTTATTTCCAATTAAGAATCAAAATGCAGATAAGATATCCCAATTCTTCTACTTTTTCTTAAAAATATAATTTGGCAGTTATGTCATTATCATTGTCATCATTGTGCCGATCACAAGTCAGTTACCGTAACATCCCATAATACAACAGTCCATTGCTGAATATAGGCCTCCCTCACAGATTGCCTCACTGGAGGGACAAGTACCACAGTTGCCATTCTTGATAAGCGAGATTATAATATTTTATTTTTATTTTTAGTAGTTTTTATACGTGGTAGAGTCATGCTGCATTTATATTAGAAGTATGATTGTAGCACGAATGGGTCGGCTCGACCGGGGATATACCACGCTCTCACAGAATACCAGCGTGAAATAGTAGCTTAATGCTGCTGTGTTTCGTATGGTAAGTGTAGAGAACCGGAGACCCTTTTTACTGGAAACGAGGCATTCCGTCTTAGTCCTCACGGGTGACGACGCATCTGTATTTTGATTTGTAATCGAGGATAGATGTAGATGTCTATGGGCCACAGCAACCACTTACTATCAGGTTGACTGTGTGCTCGTTTGTCACCCTATCCTATAAAAAAACATAATAAATCATTATTACCGGAATTAAATACACTTACTACTTAAAACGTAACACAGGTTTAACTAATTTTAGTACCTACTACGTATTTAGAATTCAATTAGTGTACAAATCAAGTAAATAGGTATTAAAATATTTTTCAATTGCGGTTTAGTTTTTAAGATAAACCAACTGCATAAATAACTTTGTAATCCATTACACATTTACATTTGCAGTGAATGAATTAGTCTACCTGTATATGTATATTAATAGGTATAGATAGGTACATTGTTGGTATTCAAGTAGTAGAAGGTACCGGAAGGGAAAAAGTAAGTAGTAAACTTGTAGAAAAACCAAATCTCGCGATTCAGTTCTTCTACCGTAAAAAGTTGTGAGACCCATGGATATAATACCAAGTCGGTTAATTTATTCAGTCCCTACTTGAGGGTCCTTCTGTTTTAAGTTATTACGTATTGAGCTAACCTAATAAAATCTTATAGTGACCATATCAATGTCAAAAATCTTTTATGTTTTAAATAAATAGATTGACTTGGCAATCGCACTAAATAATCTAATTACTTGTGAGATACGTTGTGTTTTCATGGGATGGCCCCCAAGTCAATCTCTATTTATTTAGAACATAAACGATTTTTAATATTGATATGGTTACTAAAGAATGTTGTTAATAAACACAGCAGCGTTAAGCTGTTATTTTACGCTAGTATTCTGTGAGAGCGTGATCCTTCCTCGGTCGATCCGACCCATTTGTGCTACAACTATACTAATAATATAGCTGTAGCATGGCTCTAACGCGTACAAGTTGCTTGCACTCAATTACTGCACCTATGTCACATCTTACCACTTCATTGATTAACTGGTAAAGAACACCTTTAGGCACTAAGTCTGCTCTTTATGGACATAAAGAATTTTTTTAATAATGGAATGCAATATTTTTTTTAATAAATAAATTGTTGAAAAGAATCTGACAAAACGTAATATGTGGAATCACTTCTGACAACTATAAGTCCAGTAAAGACGCGTCTGTTGGTGAGCTAAATTGTGGCCCAGATACAGAATATATTGGTTCAAACATAATTTTCAGAGTCAATACACCGAATCAATTACGATATTTTTTAGTATGATAGTGATAAATGAGCACAGTCCATCTGATGGTAAGTTAATGATATGTTGGTAAGTTTACGAAAGTTAATGATGAACGTCCTTGAATTAGAATTAGAACGCACATGACTTGCCAAGTCTTGGGATTAAGATTGATTGCCTCGTTTCCAGTAAAAAGAGTCTCTGCACTGTATTTTTTTTTAAATAAGGGTCACAAACGAGCACACAATCCACCTGACGGTAAGTATATGTTTTAGTCCTTATAAATCTCCATTTATATTCAATTAAGAATCAAAATGCAGATTGGTTGTCACCACTGAAGACTAAGATGAAATACTTTGCTCGCACGAAACACAGTAGCATTAATCTGCCATTTTACGCTAGTATTCTGTGAGAACATGGTCCTATCGCCGTCGAGCTGACCCATTAGTATTACAACAAAATATAGCTGCAGCGTGGCTGTACCACGTATTCATTCGTGCTACAATCTTTATATAATTTTGACGTCTCCGTGGTGAAGTAGATTAGCAATGAATTGTAACGCTAGGGGCTGTGGGTTCGTATCCCGCACGGAAAAAGTATTTGTATGGCCTACAAATAATTTTTCCAGGTCTGAATGTTGGAACATGTGAATTTAAAAAAAAGCACTCAGTTCACCTGATAGTCAGTGGATTCTGTGATCGATAAACACCTAAATCTAGTCTCGATTAAGAATCAAAATGCAGAATACATTGTCGCCCTTGTGAACAAAGATGAATGTCTCGTATCCAGTAAATAGTCTTCAGTTCTCTACACATTGAGCTGCCATTTTACGCTGGTATTCTGTGAGAGAGTAGTCCTTCCCGGTCGAGCCGATATAGTGCTACAACCATAGTTTGTTTGCAGCTTGGAGAAAAACCCACCGTGGAAGTAATATTATTATCAAACAAGTTCAGTGATTTTTATTAAAAACCCGCCTACGCGAAAACACCATACTAAAAAGAATTTAATATACTTAATGTCACTTTTACAATTAAGACGAATGTCAGATACAGCCGTAACATACTCCTTAACGACCGCTTTTCTACTACGTTTATTCTACTCTCTGCTTCTTCTGCCACACCCAACTTTGAAGTAGGGACCAACACAGCATTGTGAATTATCATACGTGCCTTTTTTGACACATTCTGACTTTTTTGCACACAATGGGAGTGTAAGGCCCAATTTACTCTATTTTCTCCATTCACTCGGTCAATATCTTTATCATATCTCCCATCCTTCCTAAATACGCATCCATTTTACTTGTCCTACAACTCCCTTCTATTCTTAATTTACATATCGTTTTTCATTCTTCTCTTTCAAAAACCACAACTTTCGTTTTACTTGCTTTTACTTTCATTTCTTTTAATTATCTGTTCGTTAATTTAACCATCATTTGCAACTCGGCCGCCGACGACGTAAAAGTAACTTGATCATCGGCATACAAACGGCGTATAAAATTAAATTAACCGAAATTAAAAGAAGTTCAAAATTTTACCCATCTCAAAATATTATATACACTGTTCTCTCTCTCTCTCTCTCTCTCTCTACACACACACACACACACACACACACACAAACATTTATGATATCTGCAATAATAGATGCCTTGGTTTCGTGACAAAGGAAAAATTACGTGTCGTCAGAAATACACGTTTTCTACACAAGACATTTATTGTTACGATACGATTCGATTTCTTAAGTATATTGAGTTTGACAGACTTAAATAAACATAGTTAATGAGGAACAAGAAATAGCTCTAGTGTATTTTGTAAAACATAAAAGATTTAATTTATATGGACCACCATCTTTCTGTTCTGAATTGTTACCTTACAATGAGTCTGTAAGTGGTTTCTCGTAATGTAAAGAGAGATAAGATTAATTCCTAATCGTATCTTCAATAACACAAAACGCTCAGCTTTTCTAATAGAACATGATTGTTCTTTTAACGAGTATACGAGTATAAACTTATATAATTTTAATTAATAATAGCTTTTAAGTGGAATTGGTTAAAATTACGTTGCAAACGACACAATATCGCTCTGTAACTTATTGCTTGCGAGGCATGCGAGGTAACAACCGCTGAGATTTTTGTTATTGTACGCCTCATAAGCGAAGTTTTAAGGTTGTGTTTTATTTTACTTAATGGAAATCCAGTAATTTTCTGAGCTAAAAATGTAAAGAAAAACCGATTGAAAAAAAAATCGAGGGTGTACGGATGTTTTTCAACCAAATAGGCTATATAAAAGCACCTGTAACCGATGAGCGCGAAAGCGTATATAGGTGTGAAGGAACTGAGATGGATGTAAGGATTGATAGAATCACCTTATGTTCTATTAGTGTTTCTCTTCGAGAAAACCGCTAAAGGTAAGGAAATATCGCAATCTTTACGTCGTCAGAACAGTAACAATAAAAAACTTCTTTCCCTATTTTGCCACTTTTAGGGGTGGAATTTTTTATCTAAATTTATACGCGACTAGCCTTGAAGTATAAACTATTTAATAAAAAAAAGAATCATCAATATTAGTTTACAATTAGCGAAAATGTCGCGTAACATCACTGTCCTCTACATGTGTGTACAAGCTATACGGAGTTCACAGCGTAACATTTGTATGTTACGCTGTGTTGTGATGTTACATTGTATGTAAACTCCATACTGTTTATATAGGCAAATTGTCAATCTTCTCCTTTTCTTAAATAGGCTAAAATTAAAAATGGGGCCCATAGACATCTTCATTTATCCTCAATTAAGAATCAAAATATACATGCGTTGTTATTCCTAAAAAACTAAGATATAAGATACCTTTTATTGGAAAGGAGGCATCCTTTCCAGTAAAATGATCTCTCTCGTTTCTTTACAATTACCATACGAAACACAACAGTTTAAGCTATTATTTTACGCCGGTATTCTGCTTGAGCGTCTTTCTTCGGTCTAGCCGACCCATTTGTGTTCAGATCACAATATACTTATGGCTCTACCACATATATAAGGATCCTTAAACTCCTGTTATACTAAAAGAACTGACAGTGCTCGTTGATACGAAATAATTTAATAGAGTTTGAGTTTTTGAACGGTAATGTTGTTGATATCTACTTCACATACAGTTACAGTTACTCAACTGTAATAATAAAGTTGAATGATCAACGTAAATAATTAACGTATAAATATTTTATTTTCTACTGGAACTGATGTTGTTGTGTTTTTATAAAAGTTTGATACAAAACTTAACGTAATATCAAAACAAATTTGCTAACTTCAACAAAAAATTCCTGGTCGGTGAAACATAATAATGTTGTGTCGGCTCGATCGGAAAATAACCACATTCTCACAGATTATCAAAATAAAATAGAAGCTTATTGCTGCTGTGTTTTTTATATCATATAGTGTGGATAAACGAGTACCCTTTTACCGGTAACGAAGCATTCTATCTTAGTCCTCAGGGGGAGACAACGCATCTCCATTTAGATTTAATCAAGGATTGGTACGTGCGATTGGTATCTACGGGCAACAGCATCCACTTAACATAACGGGAACTGTGTGCTCGCTTTTCATCATTACTACTATAAAAGAAAATTAATACGTTAAGGTTACAGAAAAGTAAGTGAAGAATATATAGTATTAGTGTATTATTGTTTTTATTATGAGGAGCGTTGTCATACCTTAGCCGAGCCAAATTTACCAAGTAAACATCGGGCATATCATACTAAGCTAATCTCACCCCCAAATACATTACTTTATCGCCGAAAGTTTCATATATATTTGCATGCGAAAAGTTGAATTGAATTTTGGCTTAATAATAATAATGTCTTACATTTAGGTTTTTTTTTTAAATTTAGGTCAAGGAGACAAGTCTCAACGGCGATAAGTCATCTGTACAAAACAGGATTATAGTGCACGAGTGTATCATATTGACGTAGTGACATAGTGGCCGTGTAATGGCGGTGTATGTATATCCATTACCCCATGTCGACCCGTATATGTCGAAATAAGCGAGAGTGGAAAACAAGTCAGGAGATGGATAGTGGCACCTTCCTAATAACAACTTTAAAAATAAAAATTGCGTTTATCAACCCGCCTGCCAAGCATGGAAACTATGGCAGATATTTTCAGCAGTAAACTTGTGATAGGTTGTAATGAATAAATAAGGCTATAATGCCTCAGCATGTTGGATAGCGATATAATTATAAAATTGTCAGACATAGGTTTATGTATTATTTTTGTTTGTTTAAAATAATTACATAACAAATTTATATATTTACCTCGACCGCTACAAAGTTGAACTTTAAATTAATAAATACAAACGTGTGTCGGTCATTTCTATATGTCTGTTTGTATTCCGTGTAACCGCTCGGTCTCTCCAGTGTAGCTTTGAGTGGTGCAATTTAACTGTACTTGCTATTTATTTCCTTTTTGATTTCGTGCAGTGAACCTTTGAACTTTGTTTAATGTACTTAGATTTACATATTAACGTCCATTAAAAATGCCATTTCCTGTTCTGTACTTCCCGTCATTTTGTAAGAAAGTATCGATTTTTTGTTTTGTTTTACGTCTAATCCCTTAACTATTGTTTGCAGATGACCACAAGAAGAAAAAGTTGAGCAATGACAAGCCAACATCTCTGTTTCGAGATGATGAATCTAACCATGATCCATATTCTGACGATGACGGTGAATACGTGTCAGACTACAATCACGAGCCCAATGATAAGGATGAAGATAGCAGCAGTGACTGTAATGCAATTTTTGATATTTTTAAAGGAATCCACAAAGAATTTGGTCTGAAAGCGGATCATGGTTTTGCTGACTATCAAAACGATAACGGCGAGCAGGTAGACCAAAATTCTGTAAATAAAACTGTGATGTTGAGCCCGAACGTGATTCTGATATAAGCGATTGTAGTATTTTTGATCGCCATCAAGTTCAAGTATCAGGGAATAAGGCCGAAATGGCATTCAAAGGTGTAAAAGTGAAGAAAACAATACTATTAGAAATCATGAAGATAACACTGAAGAATAAATGAGAGTAAGTCAGGAAGAAAATGAGGTGAGTGACATTAGATTACAATAAAATCATGAGCTACCAGAAGATAGAAAACAACAAGAAGAAGAAGAAAAACGAATGTATCCGACTATTTCGTGTCACGTATATAAGCGTATATGAACACCATAATTTTTGTTACGATGTGATACCACGATTATGTTGTGTCACGGACAAGAGCGTACTTTCTCACCACAATTGACCAAATATATTGCTATGTGTCATGAAGCATATAGGCATGGTGTTAATTTATATGTGATTTTTAGCGTCATATTTCTAACTCGATCCAGTGTCCAGTGTCCGTGAGAGTATTAACTTCCAGTTTGGAACTGTTGTAAGGAGTTTGAGATTGAAAGACTAATTTCAACATATGTTTATCAAATACATATAGTATGTAATATATATTATATATACAAAATGGTGGACCCAGGAGTTGAGTTGAGTAGGTACTAACCTCTTATCAATTTCTGCAATGCACTGCTGTATTCAGGTCTGAATGTTATAGAGAGTCAGTATAATTTACAGGTTGTCAGGCATTCTATCTTTTTCCTCAGACGTGGCAGCACACTTAAAGACTTCCTTGTTTGAAGTTGGTCGTAAGTGTCCATAGACTGTAATAGCCACTTGCTATCAGGTGAACTATTATAGTTCTTTTGCCACTTCAGTTCAGTTCAGTTAAATGAACATTTAAATACATTCGTTAATTCTCGAACATTATACACGTACTTTACATTATTCTAAGCCATTTTTTTTCTTCATCATCAACCGGTAAAAGTGCAAAGTATGTGTATCTGTCGTTATATAAATGATTTGCCTTAATCGTCATGCATGGCAGCTAGTACCAGACGTTTCGCACTTTTAAAGCTGTTACCCGTCCCTATGTGGTGTGTATGAGGTGGGAGTCGTGAGAATTTTCAAGTACATCCCAGTCGCCTTACACAAGTCTGAACATAGGCCTTGCAATAGGAATGCCGCAAAGCATGTTCTCGAGCAACCTGCATCTATAGACTTCCTGCATATTTTATCAGATCGTCACTTCATCCAGCGGGGAGCCACCATACGCTTCGCCCACCGGTACTAAGCTGCCACTCAAGAACCATTCTTCCCCATAGGTTGTCGGTTCCTCAAGCTATATGGGCGGCCCATTGCCACTTTTGCTAACTAATCCATTAAGCTACGTCAGTTACTGTGGTTTTACTGTGAAAATCTTTAAGTTTTAGTCTATTAAATATATATCATAGCCTTTTCCATATCTTTGTTAGCGATTTTGAGCTTCCTAATACGGCCAACAGTGATAGACCATATCTCAACCCACAGATCATCACTGACCACATACACTGGTTGTGCAACCTAGTTTTTAAGTTTTGAGGTATGCCTGAAGAGAGTTAAATTAGTAACATACTTAAAGAAGAGATTATATAAACTAGTAGAAGTGACTGGTCTAGTCCAATATTATTAGGGCCTAAATAATTATATGTATGCCCCAGGTAGTAAAAAATTGTCGATCCGACTACGGATTACCGGAAATTGAATATCCGTATCGATGACGATAATTACCTCCTCCCTGATGTGAAAAATAAATAAACCTGATTACTCCTCGTTGGATATGATACCTATAGACTTGAGGTCTGATCAACATAAAGCCGTTAGTAATCGTGTCAAACCCGTAGAATCGATGGAATTACGTATGATTAATAAAGATCATTTAAAGAAATTAAGAAAATTAAGAGTTATTATTAAGAAAATGAGATATTTTGTAAATTTCCAAAGAAAAAGATAAATTATATTAAATATTTAGGCTTTCACTCACGATTTACACAACGGGAATTAGTGAGAAATAGATGGTTTTTGCAAGTTATTAAATGTTAATAAAATAATATGTATAATAAAAAAGGATGATTGTAATTATTCCTGGTCTCTTTACACTTCGAACGGAATGCTGAATTCAAGCCCTGCCATCCAGAGGCAGAAAAAGGTAAGAATGTACCTACCCAAAGTGACTCCTAGGCAAAGCGGGGCCTACTATCTAGTCAGTGCGATCTAGCCTAGACGTACCTACACATGCGACAGTTACGAGACACAACGTCACTATACGAGTACGAGTACTTCTATTTTAACCCAAAACGTTATATTAATCTATATTGACCCCATAAAACAGAGGGCCATGCAAGGGGCGTGAGAGCATACTAGGTTCGATTCTCACCAGCACCAATGGAATTGTTAATTACAATTTTAAGTGCTAGTTTTCTGCATGCTCGACGATGAATTGTCATATATATATATATATATATATATATATATATATATATATATATATATATATATATATATATATTAGCATGTCTGAAAAATTAAAGAAAATACTTTCCGAAGACATGTGAAGCCCGCATTCACGCATTGGGGCAGCGCGGTGGACACTTCTTTGTCCTAATACCCTTTCAAATATGAGAGGAGGCCTGTTCCCAACGGATATTGGCTGTAAAATTTCAAAGTAGACTATGATATCAACAGAAATCTATTTCATTATAATTCAGAAATAATTTTGAAAAGTAATTTCTAATAGTCCTCGCAGGTTTGATTTAGCTCATTGCAAAAACACGGAAAGAGTTTTGGAAATCGCGAAATGAATTATTTTAATAAACTCTTTTATTTTTAAGAATCAGAAACAGAAACTTTTTTATTACATATAGATTACAAATAATACTTAGCTTGGTAGCGATCACCACAAGGGGTTGTTATCATCCATTCCTAATATTATAATAACGCATAAATTGAATCCAAAACGTTTTAAACGCCTTGACCAAGTAGTTCCACGTAATAGACGCGACAATACACTTTTGTGTCATCAATACGCTAAGACAGCACTAATGCGCAAAAGTATCTACTGCATGGCTCGAGTCATGTATGATAAAATATCTAAAAGATGAAAAGAATTGCAGCTATCGACATTTAAAAAAGGCTTCGAAGCTTCTTGATAGTCAAAACATACTATAGCGTAACACAATTCCTGACTGTATTTTTTATTTTATTTTGAGTGTAGACTATATAATGTTAAAAATCTGAATTATGTTTGTTTCTGTGTTATTATTTTATTATGTTATTTAAATTGTTTAGGTGATTAGTTTATATTTCTGTATATTTTGCATGTCTACCGTTAAAATATGGTTGAACTCACTACCTATACCGTGTACTGTACTCATATTTGCAAAATAAAATAACTTTTATATTTATCTTTATCTAACACTTTCATATATATTGTGAGTATAAATATAAATTCTCATATTATTTACTTATTATATTTGCAGGAGGGGCCACATCATCCACTTACAATTAATAATAATAAAATAATAATCTTATATTATATTTAGTATTTTACAATTTACATAGTGTAGAGAGCATCTTCTAAGTACCTTAAGGCACTTGTTTCAGAGACTCCCGCTCTACCATAGCCATACAAAACGTTCTAGGTCCTTGAGACTAGGTGGACTGTGTGCTTGTTTGTCACCATTTAAAAAAATCTTAATGTATATATCCCATTATCTCACTACGGGTCTCTCTTTAATAAATAAAACATATTGCTTAAAACTACTTTTACGGATTGTATCGCGTTTTATTTTAATTATTTTTAATTCCAGACGTTTCGGGTGCTTTCCAGCACCCATGGTCACGGTTGACTGAGATGACTGACGTCCCGATGTCATTGTTAAACCCGGAGTACCTTCAGTTTTTATTAATTATTGTTTATGGTCCGATCTATGTAAAATGAACTGACTGTGTCTTGAAGTCTTGCAGTGGTATGCTTGGGTTTAGTTTTAATTTAATTGATTATAGGGTCCAAAGTAGGTGGTAGTACCCAGCCTTTTCTTTTTTTTTTTTTTTTTTTTTTTTTTTTTTTTTTTTTTTTTTTTTTTGTTTTGTATCTTCTCTAATGATATTAGGATGTTTTTTAATTTCAATAGCCTCACGTATCATCCTTGGTAGGAATGGGTGTTCTTTCGCGAGGATTTGTGGTCCATCAAATCTGATGTAACGGTTGGGGCCGTCTAGGATATGATCACAAATACACACACGCGATAAAATCCGTTAAAGTAGTTTTAATTTATGTATAGCGTTCGCGTAAATATAAGAAATCATTAAATAAAAAGTATGTTTATTTGTTTGTAACGTATCTACAAAAATATAAAAATAAAAAGGAACAACTGAAAACACAGGCGAAGATCCATCTCGCACCATTTTACTATCGTCCGTTATTTATCGCCTATTTATATTCCTGAGCTTCTTATACGAAGGCCCTTTTATAATAGAAAATAAATGGTGTAAGTTACTGGCCCGTGACTTCTTTTAAGAGCATCGAATAGGAAATAAATACAAATAAACTATGTAAACAATCTATGGTAACTCAGGGGGAAAAACGCTTGCCATAGGGCTGCGCTAGTTAATTATTTTTTGCATTAACGTATTAAAGTGATATTAATATCGATTTGTATCATCGTTATATAAGTTTGAATTCAACATTCGTATATACCCGTAATTTTAACGCAAATTTATACGTCAATAAATAACATACGAACTATGACATATACTAAACGAGAAGTTTTCTTAGTTCGTTTTTTATTTATTTACCGTGTAGTGGCAGTTTAAGAAAATCCACTCCGCCACATCTGCCCGTAGGTGTCGTCGGCGGCGGCAGAGGGAAACAAATAAAAGGATGGGCTGCAGCGTCTTCATAATAACTACTTAAAATTTAAAAATGGCGGCGTCAAACGTGTCGCCAAGCGTGGCAACTGTGGCAAGCATCCCCTTTATGGGGAAAACTATGACTATGTTCAGCAGTGAATTCTAGCGCAGCCTT